TTAAATACATTAGTTACACAGTATAAAAATGATCGTCACTTTATATCACGTTTAGTGATAGTATCGAAAGTCCACTATGCTCCCCTAGGTTCACTTTGTCTGGTTTTGGACGTCATTCGTGCAACAAAATGTGTTATCTTGCATTACCATTCTTGGCATCATAGTAGTTAGTTACACACGCCTTAAAAAATTTTTTAATACATTTTTAAAAAATTTTTGTAGAAAAATAAAAATAAAATATGAATGACGATTTAGATGTTGAAGCCATGCTAGAAGCTCCCTTCCAGAAGGGCAAAGTATGACCCCAAAAATCATAGCAAACATCTATCAAGTTTTATTTTTTTACTAATCAAGGAAAAATTATATTAATTAAAATAGGAATCTTCTGAACATAATGGAAAAAATGAAAAAGATCATAAATTAGAGTTAAAAAAGTGAGCAAAAAATTCATAAAAATACACATTATAATGCATATTTTTGATACTATACCATTCTAAAACTATTTTCAATATCTTATTTTGTTATTTTTTTATAGCGATGAAAGACGTCGTCACAGAAGTTCTTCACGTACTTCAAGTCATCGTCATAGATCACATTCTAGATCTCGTCGCTCACATAGATCAAGATCAAGAGATAAACATAGACGGCGAAGAAGTAGATCTAAATCTCGTGAAAAAAGAAAAAGAAGCCGAACAAAATCTAGAGATAGGGAAATTAGAAGAAGTCGTTCACGTAGAAGAAGTCGTAGTGGTAGTAGATATAGGTAATTAATATAGTATAATATTATATTTTATTGTTATTGTTGTTATTTAATAAAAATTCATAATATTTGGTGTTTTTTTGGTTGTCAATAGTGACCGAGATCGTAGAAGAAGATCACCTACACCTCCTTTAGATGAAGAAGAACGTGATAAACGCACAGTATTTGTTATGCAATTAGCAGCACGACTTAGAACTAGAGAACTTGCAGATTTTTTTGCAGAGGCTGGAAAAGTTCGAGATGCTAAAATAATCGCTGATAGAATATCTAGGAGATCAAAAGGGTAATGATTGATCAATTATTGATTGGTTGATTGACTGTTAGATTGAAAAAACTTATTTAATAATATTTGTTATTGTTACAGTGTTGGGTATGTTGAATTTTATGATGAAGAATCTGTCCCAAAAGCTTTAGCTATGACAAATAAAAGACTTTTAGGCATCCCAGTAATAGTACAGCTTACAGAAGCAGAAAAAAATCGACAAGCAAGATTAGCAGAGCAAGCGTAAGCATTTTTCATTTTCTTTGTTTTTTTTAAAAAAAAGTTTTTTTATAAAAAAAAATAATATTTATTTTTATGATTTGCAGTGCTTCACATGCAACTGATATTGCATATCATAGATTATATGTAGGGTCAGTTCATTTTAATCTGACCGAAGATGATTTAAGACAAGTTTTTGAACCATTTGGTCCATTAGAATTTGTTAATCTTCATAAAGATCCCGAGACTGGTCGATCTAGAGGCTTTGCTTTTATTCAGTACAAGAATGCTGAAGATGCTAGACAAGCTTTAGAGAAAATGAACGGCTTTGAATTGGCTGGAAGGACCATCAAAGTAGGTCTTGTCACTGACAAAAGCAATGGAATGAATCTAAATCTTGATGATGGTGGTAAGTTTACCATTTAATTGCATATGTGATTCATTATTTATTATTTATTGAAATATAATATAATTTTCTTTTTAGATGTTGCTGGTTTAGCACTAAACCCACAATCTCGAGTAGAATTAATGCAAAAATTAGCTCGTGATACAGATTTAATTGCACCTGCATCTGCTCCTACACAATCAGAACCGTTAGTAATTTAATTTAAACAAGAAATTTAAAAAAATTAATTTTTTTAACTATATTATTTTTCTCTATTTTTTTTGTCATAGATAAAAACTGAGTTCTAATAATCCTCTAATATATATCTATATCTCACAATCATTTATAATATATATGCACATATATATATATTTGTATTTTTCTTTTAATTATTGTCATTGCTATTATTATTATCATCATCATTCTTCATCGTCATCTTTTTATAATTAAAATACTTTTATTTTAATTTAAAGACCAAGGCCTGTTCAACCAAGAGTCAATCCTACACGGTGTGTACTATTAAAAAATATGTTTAATCCTGATGAGTAAGTTATCTTGATGTTTAAATAAATTTTTTTATTTAATAACGATATAATACTAACTATTCATTTATTATTGAAATAAAAGAGAAACTGAATCAAATTGGGCAGAAGAATTGGAAGAGGATGTGAAAAGCGAATGCTTAAAATATGGGAATGTTGTTCATATTGGAATTGATAAAGAATCAGATGTAAGAAGAATCTTTGAATATTTATATTATTTTTTTGGATTAACAAATTAATTTCTTTAATTTCCTGTTAATTATTATTTTTATATCTTTTTTTGTAGGGAGATGTTTACATGAAATTTGATACTGTTGAATCTGCTCAAAAAGCATTAAATGGTTTAAATGGTCGATGGTTTGGTGGAAACCAAATCTCGGCTGTTTTTATTCTTGATATGTTTTATAATGTTCGATTTGCTAAAGCAGCAAATCTTTAATTGACTGATTAATTGATTGATTGATTCACCTATTCATTCCTTTTTTTATTCTTTTATTTTTAGATCTATCTATCTATCTATCTATATAGTGATAGATACAACATATGGGATAAAAAAATAATAAATTAATTTTGTAACATAGTTTTTTTTATTATTATTATATTATTATATTTGTGTTAGTATTTTTAGGTAATTTCGTAATATATGGCGCGATGATGATGGTGATGACCAGTAACATCAAATATTTATAATCAAAGGAAAGAAAGAAAGTATCAGCCAGTCCTTTCTCATTCAATGTGAAAGATATAGATCTTACAAAAAAGAGTAATTTATTCATATTTGTGTGGTGGTTCCTTATAATAATTAGTAATGATGTGTAATTTCTCATGTGTGACAATAAATTTATTATTCTTTATACAATTAGTTTTTGAGGAAATTTACATATATAAAATAATTATGATTACACGAATTACAATGGGTTGCAAAGAGAAGTTAAATTTTTTTTATATTTTATTTTTTTCCATATATTTTTCTGCATGAATAGCATTCATTGACAGGTTTTTCTTCAATTCAAAGAATGACAAGTAACTTTAAATAATAATAAAATTGATGATGATAGAAGATCAATACACGGATATATATATATATATATATATATATATATATATATATATTAAATTTTTTAAAATTTAATGGTAAAAGAATTTTACTACAGTACAGAACCTGTATAATAGGAATAAAAGTTGCTTTGCTTTTAGGGTTATCTCCATATAAGAATATCATTGGTAAAGCCAAAATATGTCCTTATACAGAGGGAACCTCCATTAAAGAACAATATTATAATGCCACTACATGCTGTCACTATAGAGAGGGTTTCAATTATTTCATTAAATGATGAAAATAAATTAAAGACTTTTGGTATTAAAATAGTGTAATTCTTTATTAAATCATCAATAATATTATCAACATTATCATTTTTGATTTATCAATTAACTTACAACAAAGGAGATATTTTCTAAACATTGCCAATTTCTCTTTATTATTATCTATATCATCTTGCTGTTCTTCAAATCTAATTCTTTTCTTTAGAGCTTCATAAGCTTCTTTAATAGTAACCATTAGTGTGGTTCTTCATTGCCTTCATCAGAATCTATATTAGTATCAGCTTCAATTTGTGCATCTTCTAAAACCATCTCAACAATTTCTGTATCTTCAGTTACAAGTGGTTCATCAATCACAATAATGAATTCCTTGATTTGATGAACCAATGCTTGTTGATTATCATCATCAGTTAATGGATTGGTAAATTCATCATTTTCATTTACCACTGAATTTGTTTATAAAATTTGGCCACCAGGAAAAATACTTGTCTTTCCTCAACAGTTTTTTATTGTATGTCTGCTTATAAAATGAGATATGCTAAAATTCCCATTATTTCATGTCTGGGTATTCCAAAATTTCCATCTGCAAGTTTTGGAATGTTTACATAATAAACCAGTTATAGAATGCAGAAACATGCAATAATTATATCAACAATCAAGAATGGGTTGTTAAATAGTGTCACTTATATACCATTATTTTAAACTCAGCAACCATTTTGATTTTTACATTATTGCATGCTCTGCACTAAGATTGTGGGCAAAACTCCTCCAGGAATCAATCAACAGAGTTTCGACAGGTTACACATTAATTGTTTATTAGAGTTTCAGCAGAGTTTCGCATTTGGGGGTTTTGTCAATTGCCAGAGTTTTGACAAGGTATATACTAATTGTTCATTAGATTTTTGACAGAGTTTCAACAGTCATTAAGAGGTTTCGGCAAGCAACCTTACTCTGCACACAATAACTCTAATTTATTGTTGTAATCAGACCAAGGTTGATCAATCTTGTCAATAGCCTGTTTCAAATTGAGCTCTATGCCATTACAAATTATCTCAGAACATGCCAAAAATATAAATGTTTATATTTAGCTTTGAATGACTTGATAATCTCTACACCCAGTGGTTGCAGATGGGATGAGGTGTTCAGAGGAAGATATTGCAATGTAAATATTTGACAACTGAAGTTTCGCCATCATTCAAAGAATGCAAACTTGCTTTATTTTGAAACTCTTCATATTTTAACCATGACACCAAATATCAAAACTTTGAGTTGTACTTGTAAATTACAGGTAAATTTGAAATGTCAATTGTAACAAACATCTAGGTCTTTTAGAATCTCCAATTGCTAATGGCTTTGATTTCAGTACCAGTTGAATTTACAGTAAGAAGAACTGTTATGTTAAACTTGTCCTTAAAAAACATTTAGGCAATATATATGTATGCATCAATAAAATTTTAATGTCTAATAATTTTTTCCCTGCCATTCCACATTTTGCTAATATTATTGTGTAATGGACATTTGTAGATTTTTATTTTTTGAAACATTTCTCTGATTTATAGACAGATAGATTTATAGATGAAGTCAAAACTATTTTGACCATTTGCAGATCTAGTCAAAATAGGGTTGAAATAAGGTTGAAATTGATTTTTACTATGTAGTTGCCTCAAGTTGAAACATTTCAACTTTGAGGTTTTAATTTTGACTTTATGTATAGATCAGGGTTGGCGAATGTGTGGTCCATTGGTGGTCTATTGGGTCCATTAGTGTAACATTTTAACTATATTTAGTATTTTATTAATGGCAATGGACCAGCTCAAAGTCCATCAGTTCTCAATGGACCAGTCAATTTGCCAACCCTGTTATAATGTAGGTGATGTGATTCAATTGTTTTTGATAGACTTACAATTTGATGGTATTTATCAGTCATGGATATATGGTAATACAAAATTAGTTATAGATAGACCTACAATGCCTGCAATTGAAAGTTCTATAATCCATTTTATGTCATTAGAAGTATGAATTGTTTTTACTTTTTCAGTTTATGTTAAATTTTTATTTTGAAATAATAATGAATTTTTATATTCATAGGAACAAGTATCTAGGCTCATGGAAGATTATAAAAAAAGAAGTAGTCAATTTACACCTCCGAGGCAGATTCAGTATATGAGAGAACCATTAACTATGACTCAATTCAATAAATTACTCAAATGAGATATGTAACTCATATAATATTTATTATAAAAATATAATAATAATAAAATAATTATAATAGTTCGTGATTTGCTGCAAAAGGGAGTTTGTGATCTTTTTTCTATTCTTTCTTTCCTTAGATAATTTTCAACCAACAGAGTATTATTTATTTGAAACATAGGTTAAATCAAAATATTTCTGATTGTACTATAAATGAGTTTCATATTAACTATTTTTATCTAGAGACAGTTGTGATGTTAAAGATTATTGACCCCTGAAATCCTTAGTAATACCAATGTTCACTTTGTCTGGTTTTGTTGCAGTATGCCCCATATTTAATATTAAGTTGTTCAATGAATAATAAGTACTAATCACATTATAATGAATTCACATGATATAAATTTAAAAAATAAAAAAAGTAAAAGCAAACAACAATATTGGAATTGTTAATTAAAAAACATTTTATTCAAATTTCCAAAAGATGAATGCATAATTTAATGTTTGTTACCGCATAAATCTGGGGTCGTGTGGGTAAAATTTTTCGTTTACACGTGATACAGAAGGATAATCTAAAACATTTTTTGATTTTTTTTTCCAATAAATTGTAATTATAATATTAACGACTCAAAGTTGGTGATGGGAGCAAAACAATCTATGCCTGGTGAAAGCATGTTGTTTTATAATGAGCCACAAATTAGGGTAAAATTTTGAATATTTGCGTGAAAGGTTCTTTGAGTTGGAATTTAAAATTCTAAAAATTTGTATTATTAAAATAAAGTTATCTCACAATTTAATCAATAACCTACAAAAAGAAAAAGAAAAATTGGTAATTAAAATAATTTTTGAATTATTTATAATATTTCTTAAAAATCTAATTTAATTTATTCCTCCATTATTTAGAAATATTCGCCGCCACCAGCGCCAGCACCAGCACCACCAACAGCAACAGCACCACCACCACCAACAGCAACAGCACCACCACCATTATCTCAAAAACAATATTATAATTTATCAGAAGATGAATTAGAAAGAATTATATCTAGCAGAGTAGATGAGAAATTAAGAGAAATCGAAGATATTGAATCTGAAGTAAAGAGAAAAGTTAATGAACAATTACTAAAACAGGCTATTAATATCTCTAGCAATTTTGATAGAAATGTAAATTTAAATAGCAATCTAATTGAAAATGATTTGAACGATTTGATCAAAAGAGTTGAAAGGTGAGCGAAAAAAAAAAAATAGAGAAAATAAACTAACAAGGAAAAATTTGTTGAGAAACCATCAGAAAAAATTTTTTCTGATTTTTCTATTTGATTTTCTAATAATTTAGAAAACATGATTTTAAAGAATCAAATGAAATAACAGCTAAGAAAAATGAACTAATTTCTTGTTACAAGTAATAATTAACTGTCATAATTATCATAATAATCATCATTTATCCTCAATTCTAATTCTAATTTAAAATCTTTTTTTTTTAGAGAAAATAATTCTCGTACACTCAATTGTTCAGAATTAACCAAACAATATGGTCAAATCGTGCGAAATTTCAGTAAGGTAAAAAGAAACTATAAATATTTTTGATTTTTACTATTATTTTTAATTTCAATAAAAAATTTTTTTTATTTTTTAGAAATTAAATTAAATTAAATTCTTACCAATAATAACAACTATAGACAATTAGTAAAATAATTTAAATAGTCTTTCTTTCATGAGTAATCTTTATTCCACACAAATAGAAAAGATCCTTAATTACTATATAGAAAAAATATTTGTTGATAGTAATAGTGATTCTGTAAAAAACATCTGGAAATTTTTATTTAATGATTTTCTATTAATTAATGCGAGTAAAATAAGAATTTATATTAAGCTAAATATTTTGGAAAGAATTGTGTGCTTTGCTGCAAAGTTGTGCCGCGTCCACGTTATATATTTTTTAAAAAATAATTCATTGGCCAAAGGAAGAATAAATGTCTTTTTATATACCTAAATTATATTTTATCGCAATTATTCCAATTATTTTTTTCACTGAGGTAAAGGTGATGATGAAAATAATAGTGAACAATTTAATTAAAACTAATTAATTGGTTGATTGCATTTACAATATATTTTTTATTAATTTTCAAATTTTATATCATCACAAGGATATCTAACTTCAAATGAACCAGTTCCACCTTGCACCACTTTACCAAATACTAATCTTGAAGATGGTGTTTGCAATAAATCATTATCACTATAGAGCGTTGCTTGTGTTAAGAAATTACATGTAGTCTCAAAACTCATTTTTAAGAAAGGTGAAGCATTTGAGTCAATACCAATTCTATTAAATGGTTTATACTTTCCATCAAATGTCTTAAATAACAAATAACAAATTTGGTTAGGATTTGGAATTATTTTTCAGCAAAAATATTTTCATGTAAAAATTATATCTACCATATAATCAGCTACTAAAGACAAATGCCTTATATCTATCTTTATACCATAAAGCCCAAAAACTTCTGAAATTTCTCTTATAATTGCCATTCTTGCTGCTTCAACTCCATAAGTCTTAAGTATTGCAGCAATATCATTAGAATATATATTATTTATATCAATTAATTTATCATATTTCCATAAACTTTGAAAATTTACTCCATTTGTCACTAGTGATTTCTAAATAAGTTTGTTAATATAACAATTTTTTTGAGAAATGAACTTTTAAATTATCAAGTATTAATCTACTTACTGTTTTATCATTTTCATTATCATTGGTAATCTGCTGACATTTAGTCACTCCTCTAACTTCATGTATCACTGACATTTTACTAGCCATTTCTGCTAACGGTAACAATAGTATCTTTCTAGTACCAGCAGGAAACTATTTAAAAAACAAAGTTTTTTGTTAATTTACTTTTTTCTCGGTGCAAAAATAAAATAAAAATAAAAAATTATGTACCATTAATTCTATTTCACACCAACCACCATCTTTATCATCAAATTCGTAATTAGAAGCGTACAATGAATTTGTGATAATTTTGTTTTTTATAAATGTTTCGTCAATTATTTTCTTTTTAATTTTTTCTTTATTTTCATTAATTTCTAAATCTTGGATCATATAATTATCATTATTATCACCATCATCGCCATAACCGTCGCTGCTGCTAGCATCATTACCATCACCATAACTTAGTTTATTGTTATTCTGATTATCATTTTCTCCATCATCCTCCTCCTCATCGTCAATTACTATCAAATCAATTTTATCAAGCTCATCATCATTTTGTTTAATAACTTCAAGATCATCTTCATCTGGTGCATCATATGAAGCATGTTGTTTGGTTCGCTTATTGATACGTGCAGTTGTTGCATCACCATCACCGTCATCAGATTCTGGTGAAATTGAAAAAAAATCAAAGTTATTTAATAATTGAAAAATTATTTTTTTTAGAATTTTAAAATTATTAATAACTAACCATTTCCATTAAAATTAGGACTTGGTACATCTTCATCTTCATTAAATTGTTTATCAGATTCTTTGGCTTTTTTAAGTAGTTTATCAAAATTAGTAGAATCATCTACTTTTTTGCAAGAGGAGAAAAGAAAAGAAAAATTAAATATACCAAACACTCTTGACAATAAAATTGATTGATGGATGAATTAAATGCTGATACCATTTTTGGAAAACTTTTTTAATTCTTTGGTAATAAAAACTTCAAGACGAGGAATATATATCTTTTCAATAACTTCTTTAATCTGCCATTCGTCAACATTAAATTCTTCTTTGTACTCATTTCTTGGGAAAAAATCCATACGAATTCTATAAATTTTATTACGTAATGATCCTGATCCATCACGCTTTCTTGAAATATATTCGGTGACAGTCATCTTATCGATCACTTCTGATAATGTCAATTTACTAAAACTCTGACAAAACTCGGATATTTTTGTATCAGAGACTCCATCAAGTACCGTGAGTTTCATCATTGGTGTTTTAATAGTGCGTGATGCAGTCATAATTATTTCACGAAGTCGCGGTATACCCAGTGTCACATTCATTTCACCAAAACCAGCAAAATGAAATGTGTTCAATGTCATTTGGGTTGATGGTTCACCAATACCTTGTGCTGCAAGTAATCCAACAGCCTCGCCTGGTTCCACCAAACTGTTAAGGTATTTGAAGTGCATCAATTTTCTAAATGCTACTTTGCTTAACAAATCATCACCACTGTTACTATTATTATTATCAAGTATATTATCTGGATTTTCTTTAATATACTCTTCCAATTTGCTACTAAATTTTTCTGAAACAGAACCTAAATGTTTACTTGGGGAGAATTTGGAAAGTACTGGATCAAACTTATTAGGTTGTTTTGCTGCCATTTTTGCATAATACGATGCAGTAGAAATATCAAGATGTTCAGATGCTTGTAAAATATTAAAATTTTCTATTAAAGATTTATAGTTTTGGGCATTGAATTTGAATTCATAAAGATGTTTTTGTTTGGTAACATCTAATGAATCTTCACCATAATGAAATTGTATTACTGAACCATCACCATCTCTCACTGTGTGATCATAATGAACACATAGGCTTTCTAAATGTTTAATCAGACACCGTTGTAGATATCCAGATCGACTTGTCTTCACTGCTGTATCAATTAAACCTTCACGACCAGCCATACAATGAAAAAAATATTCCTTATGATTAAAAAATAATATTTTATTATTTATTTGTTATTTAGCAAAAATCATTAATATTGGCAGTAAAATTAGTAATAATAATACTTACCTGTGGTTTAATACCAGTCAAAAATCTACCACCAATAAACCCACCAGCAATTGCTGAAGGATCATAAGGCATGAAAGATGGAAGTGACCTACCACTTATCATCATAGGAACACGTTTTCCTTCTAATTCTTGTTGACCTGTAATTCGTTTCCGATATAAAATTTGAATAAATAGAAAAAAATGGTAAATTATAATCTAAATTTTTGCGATAATTGACTAACCTAGGCAGCAAGAAATTTGCGCAGCATTAACTTTACTTCCTTTTGCCCCTGGTATAATCATCATTTGCATATTATTATGTGGAAATTTTTTCAACTAAATAATATATTATATTATCAATCCAAAAAAAATCAAAATAATAATAATTTATATATATAATTTATAGAAAATATTTTACCAGGCCATTAGGAATACAAGTTGATATAACTGATGTTGTTAAACCACTAATTCTTGATTTCATCAGCGTTTCAAGTCCTTGATATTTTTCTGGATCTCTAAATACTTCCTCCATTGCTTTTACAAATTCTTTATCATTATATATTTTTATCATAAATAAATTAGAAATAATTGGCATAAATTCAAAAAATGACAAATTATAATCATCATCCTTGCCACCATCGCCATTATCATTATTATTGTGTACCTTTATTTTTAGTTGGTATAGAATCTTTAACAGTATTATAATCCATTTTAACATATTCAAATGCAGCATTTCTTCCAATATTTTTTGCTGAATTCAATAAATTTTTTCTTCCAATATCACCATCAGTATTTAATTGCAAATCATCCATTCGGCAACTAAATCCTTTCATTTGAACATAGGCTGTAAACAATCGACCCAACATACTCAACAACTGACCAGCTATCTCATCTGAATAAATTTCATAACATGAATGAATAAAACCATAAGCACTTGTACCAAATTGTGATTTGTCAAGTATGCCAACTAGTAATTCACCGTCCAGAAAAATCACTGTACCCTCCTCTTTTCCACTCCATCCCCATTGTTCATCAGAAACATTATTTTTCGAAGTCAAATTTAATGATTGTCGATTATATGTCATATTATATAAAATTGTACTTATCTACACAATCAAGTAAATTTAAATTATTAAAGGTAAAAATGTGTATATAATTTTTTTTATATATTAAATGCATGATAATTAAATAATGAATACCAATTGTTTTCCGGTCCATAATTCCTTTGGTTTTATAATAGCAGGATGTAAATTTAAGATTTTTCTTGAATCTTTTGGATCAGGTTTTAATGAGGTAAATAAAAGTTGCTGGTATTCCCCTTTAGTAAGAAATGTATCTTTACAAGTTAACCAAACACCTGTAACTACATGATCTTGGATCAATCCTCTTAGTGGCGAACCAGTTGTTGGGCCAAGGTATTGTTTATTTGCATTTCCAATCATTTTTGCTTCAGTTTGCGCCACTTCATTCTGTGGAAAATGAACATTCATTTCATCGCCATCAAAATCTGCATTGTAAGGTTTACTAAATTTTATTATTAATTGATTAGAATTGTCGTCGGAACTTTCCTTTACACATAAATAATGTATATATACACACACATAAAAGTAAATTATAAATACCAATTTACATAATGCATTCTAATAGTCATTTCACCTTTTAATATTCGAGCTCTATGAGCCATTATAGAAGGTTTATGTAAAGTAGGTTGACGATTTAAAAGTAAGATGTCACCATTATCAAGATGGCGAAATACCTTTTTATTTAGAAATTGAGTATTAATTCTATATTGAGTAAACGACGATTTATTATGTTCTTCATTGAGCAATTGTTGTCCTATTGAATTACGTGATTTTTGAGATATCATTGATAAATTTGTTAATGAGCCATCTTCATGTTGTATATGAGTTGCACCAGGCCATATATTTGGTCCATTGGTGACAGCTTTACTCAATCTTTTAATATTATAGATGGTCACTGGTTCAGGAAATGTTAATTTTTTTGCAAATTCCATTGGTATCTGATAAACAAAAACAAATTTTAATAAATTTTTCCTTGAAACAAAAATGTAACATAAAAATGTTTCTTATTAAAAAAAATAAAAAATATTTGATTAAAACTTACTCCAATTTCATCGGTATCAACGTTTGGATCAGGGGAAATAACAGAACGAGCAGAATAATTTACGCGTTTTCCCATCAAATGTTTTCTGAATAAACCTTCCTTTTTTTCTAGAACTTGTTTTATTCCAGGTGGTGGATCCTTAATACCTGAATAAATTCCTTTGGAGCTATCAAATAATCCATTAACAGCATCTTGTAGATTCACCCAATAATTCATCAAATTATCAATTGATTCGTTAATGTCAACAGAATTTTCAAGAATATTTTCTTTATCTTTACTAAACTGACCAGCAATATAACATAGCTGTTTTCTGGCTTTTAATATTCTGGTAAAATGAATTGTTTGAGAATTTTCTATGGCCATTTCCTCAAGAACAGATATGGGACGAAAACGAACTGGGGTGACTCCAATAACTTCAAGAAAAAATATGTCAGCTCTGAGAGCTTTATTATTGTTATCATATTCAAATTGGGATATTGGAAAAGTTTCCATATTATACAGACAAGAACATAATTCTGATTCATTAGTGAAAAGTTGTCTAAAATGACTGCGTATTATTTCTGGTGTGACGTATTTGTTTTCCGTATTTGATAAAGTCGATGACTGTAATGGTTCTTGTGATAAATTTTTTTTTGATTTTTTTGGATCATTTGCTTTTTCATTACCTACTAATTCATCATCTATTTCCATGTCATCATCTGCGTCACGATTTTGTGGCACATCATTTCTTGCACTTTCTAATCTTTGAATTTTGAGAGGTAATGGTTTGAGAAAAATTTTAGAATATCCTTCTTTTTTAAATGTTCGATAATGCCTAAAAAAATTTTTTTTTGCAAGTTGATTAGCTAATAAATAATAGATAAATGTAAATGTAATGTTAAATGTAAATGTAAATATTATATGTGAAATAATCTTACGAATCGCAATATGGACAATTCTTATTTCTATTACATTGGGCTAATAATTCTGCAATTACTAATTTTCTTTCAGCATTAACTGCTGAACATTTGAAAACATCCTTTTTATTTTTTATATTTTTCATTGATTTATTCAAAAAGTTTTCTGTAATTCCAAAAAAATATTATATTTAAAATTAAATTATTTATTAATTAAAGATAAAATAATAATAATTATCAATTACCAATTTCTTGTTTACAATCATCAATCACTTTATTTGATTTTATGTCACTTTTAAAATCTTCAAATAAATCGGATTGGCCAATATAATCAATTTGCTTGGATTCTAAAAGTAATCCATGATTTAATAATTTTAACTTTGCAATGTATTTAAAATTCTATAAATGTAAAAAAATTATATTGAATCATTCTTTTCTTGACTTCAAAAAGATCTAAATGTAATCGAGAGATTAGTTGTTACCTGAACTTCGCTAATTCTGAATCTATGACATTTCACACAAATTGCTTTTAGTAGAATTATAATATGATTAAAAAATAATGGATTATAAACTGGACATGGAAGCTCTATATGACCAAAGTGTCCTGGGCAATTAAACTGATCCAAATAACAAGTTGCACAACTATATGTATATAAAATCAAAATCAAATAGAATGTAAACGAGTTTTATTTATAAATAAAATTGTGGAAGGAAAAGAATTATTTGAATGCATACACCGAATTTTGACTAAAAGGTCCTAATGCGGGGTCATAAGACCCACTGGGTACAGGTAAACCGAATTCATCGAAGGTAGCTGGATTAAATATTTCTTTCACTGATAATTTTCTTAATTCTTCTGGTGTATAGCAAGAAAATGCAACAGAATTAGCTTGAAGTCCAAGAGGATGTGAAATATTCATATTTTTTTTAAAAAAATCAAAAAATTTTCTGATAATCAACCTAATGTTATGTACAACAGTGGCGCATCACGTTAACATAATAATAATATTTTTATTATAGATTTAAACCGAATCAACATTTTAAAACATGGAGTTTATGAGTGATATTGCCTCAGGTGCAGATATTTATAGACCTTCTTTGTTTGAACTTATTGCACAAGAAAAATTAAGAGAGTTGATTCAACCCGCTTTTAGATATGTTTTATCTGTAAGATAATCATTTTTAATAGAATGTGAAAATAATTTTATTAAATTTCTTTTTCTAATGTTAAATATATTTCAACTACAATGTAAAAAGGTGTATGCACAAAGATATCCTAGATATTTACTTAAACTTGTAAATCAATTTGATGAAATATACACATTGATTATGGTATTTATAGAGAGGCATTATTTAAATGATTCAGGTACATATATATGATTTCGGTATTATTTCGGTGTTGTTAGCAACAATATAATTATATTAGTAATAATAATTAGATGGACCTCTTCATAATTATTGATTAGGTGCATCTTTTGCTGAAAATTTTTATGGACTAAAAAGAATACGTTCATTGAAAGTTGGACATCATCATTCACAAGAAGTTAAATCTGACACCAATTTACAAAATTTAAGAAATGTTGATGTATGGAGATCAATATTTGTATTGGTAAAAATAGCGACGAGGATTTTCTTTTTTTTTCGTTTCCAATTTCATCAGATTCATCGATTCACCTACGTATTGTTATTATCATTATTAGGTGGGAATCCCCTATATTAAAACTAAATTGGATATTTTGTACGAGAAAGTGAGTGGTGGTGTCGGAGCAAGATTGTTAGGCTCTGCATTTACACGAGATAATCAACAACTGAGAAATAGCAACCAACAAGTTAGTAACATGTTATTTGAAAAATCTGAATATTTGAATTATCTATCTTCTTCTAAACAAATAATCCTTCCATTCTCAAGTTGGATCGTAAAGAAAGAATACGAAGGCTTATTAAAAAATTATTTAAAGATCTTTATCCATGGATAAATGCATTTTATCACGGATCAATCTTATCATATAATATTTGTTATTTATATGATAAAACACGATATTATACACCGTGGCTACATTTAATGGGCATCGAAATTCGTAGAATGAATGAACAAGATTATGTAAGTTTAAAACCACATATAATCAATCAATCATCCATAATTACCATTTCAAGATTTAAAATAATTATATCCACATGTAAATGATTGTATAGAGAAATTATTATGAACGTAAACGTCAACAGAGATCCAGAACGGGTATTCCAGCAGAAACAAGAATTCAAGCCGGTCGTTACTTTTTGACCAATATGTTCACAAGAGGCATAGATGTTATTAAAATTTTATTACCAATGTCAATATTTTTCTTCAGATTTTTGGAATGGTGGTATTCAAGTGAATATGCAAGGCTTCAAAGTGGCAATAATGGAATTGATTTAACACCCCCAGAAATTATCACGGTAAATATTTTTTATTTCCTCATTAACTATAAAAACAATAAGAATTATTGTTCCAATTTTCTTTTCTCATTAATAAATTAGCCCGATCCACAAGGAATACCTCTTCCGCAGTCATCAAATATATGTTCATTATGTAATAATCATTTAACAAACCCAACAGCCATTCCTTCAGGTTATGTGTTTTGTTATCCTTGTATATTTCGTTTTGTAAATGATAATGGATTTTGTCCAATTACTTTGATTAAAGTAGAAGTTGATGATTTAAGAAAAGTTTATAATTCTTCATCTTGATCAATTATTTGTAAAATTAAATATATTTTTTTTTACTCTTAATTTTGTAAATTTATATTTCATTGATTATTATTAATGTTGTTATATAACTTTTTTCATTCAATAATAATCGATGTAGCACTATCACTGATTTAGTTGTTTTGTACCTACCTCTTCTATATAATAAAAATGAGAATCAAATTTTTTTCCTTTGTTGCTTCTTTGGTTTCAACAACGGTTAACAATAGTAATAATAAAAATAATAAAAGCAGCAATATCAACATTACATCACTCAAACAATAAACAATACCATACATAAACAACTTTATTATCGTCAGTTTCTATTTTTTCACTAATTCTTGCAAAAAAAAACTCAACAATTATAAATTGATTAGAAAAATAATAATGAATAATAATTTACAAAAGAAATTAGAGGTAAGTGGTCCAAAGATCATAAGACTTTGCCGTATAAATACAAATACTTTTTACTCGCCCTTTAATTTTGAATTTAGCAATCAGTTTTAAAGATTTATTTTTTTCGAATTCATTCGAAAATATACGCAACCACTCCCACTACCCTTAACACCCAACACCCAACACCCAACACCCAACACCCAACACCCAACACCCAACACCCAACACCCAACACCCAACACCC